TGATCTACTTGCCAACAAATGCGGCCATCCCTCATTGCACTTCCCGTCCTTATTGACGTATTGCCAAGATGCCTGCTGCAACATCCGTCCTCGTCCTGCTCGCCAGCTTCGTTTGCGCGCGCGCGCGCATGACATGCTTGAGCACACATCAGCACGGATGAGCATCTCAACTGAAAGCACTCGGCGGAAGGACCGCTTGATCGATCCAACAAGACCTGTGAGCCATGGCTCGCCACGAGCGGTGGGACAGCGGCTGGTCCAGCTCGACCGGAAACTGGTGGGGTGAGACAGGCCGGTTCCTCATTTCTGCATGTCTGTTCCCTGATGCTGAACCTTCTTGCGTCAGGTGAAGCCTCGGACACCAGCTGGTCCCAAGTTCAGCTCTCCAAGCGATGGGGCCACGACGAAGGCCGGTGGAGGGTTGAGGTTCCTGATCCACTTTCCCGGTCTGGGGGCGGCGGTCCCAGCGTTGTTGTGCGTGTGGGCGGGTGTTCTGACAAGGCGAGTCATGGCAGCAAAGACAGCAGTCGCGATGCTTTACCGCATGTGTTTGATGGGGTTTGCGTGCGTGTGGTGGGCTGATTCAGCTGGGTTCGGTTGCTTGTCTCAGAGCGATGACTGAACCTTGCCCCCTAGACCCATTAGACCCTTAAACCCCTGAACCCTTCCTTTCCTAGCTTGACCGTGGGCTACAGGTGCTTGGCACCAGCGCCACGGCGGAAGGTCCTCCTGGCATCAGGCTCAAGGCCTTGTGCTCGTAGCAAGATTGGCGATAAGAATAGTAGCAATAATCCTTCTTTCACCGCAGGGGCCTCGCTGACTTGTCATGATGATGATGCGACAAGGCCGCGGGAAACCGTGGTCCCAAGGAGAGCCGCACCACTCTGAAGGCCAGAACTTGGCACATCCCGCGTGCATTTCGTTTACTGTTTGCCGCCTTGGCCTGGGAGATCAGGATTCACGGACGTGCGCGCGCGCACGCGTCCAGGGGGCCTCCAGGAGCCCAGAGGTTGTTCCAATCCTGCGGGCAGCGACGGCGGTCACGTCCTTCTGCCAGAAACGGGGAGATGCGAGGTGCAGTGCAGCATGCGAGGGGAGCCTGCACGCGACCAGACAGGGACATCGATCCGCCGCCAGCAGTCGGCCACACAAACGAGATCCAAGCATCCCGGGTGTGGGAGCAAAGTCCGTGGAGCCTCCAGTATTGATCGACAAAACACTTGAAACGAAGGTTTCGCGCTTGTTTGCTGGCTTGGCCAATTACTTGAGAACGAATGTGCTTGGTGGCTTGGCCAGCACAGGCCAGCCTCGGGGACTTCCAGGGGCCTCCACGCATGACTTGTTCTTCTTTTTGGCGAAGGTTTCCCCTGCACCAACGGCTTCGCCTTTTTGCTGACCGGACTACTGAAACGAAGCTTTAGAGTTCGACGCCTTGAGGAGCCTCCCAGAGGCTGCAGGAGCTTCCACGTCCCGGAGCCTCCTTAGAAAAAATCCAGAGACCTTCAATGACTTGCCGGAGTTCCACAGACTTCGAAAACCCTCCAGGCCTATGAATGGAGGCCTCCAAGAACCTTCTTTTCGGCCAAAAGTCATAAGAGGGTCCGGTCATGTCCGGACTGAGGTCGAGGAGGTTCCCACACAGATATTGTTGCTTTCTGGGGGGTTCAAGAACTTGGTCGTGGATCCTACTCGTAGCGGCTGGTAGACGCCTTGCGGCTTTGCGGCTGGACAGCAATGACATTCCTAATTATTTAGCGGTGCTTCTGTGCTGACTGATGTCAGGAGCCACTGAACCCACTGAAGAAATTTGAGCCCATCTGCAGATAGCTGCGTTTACCGACTCTGGGCGGGCGGCGGAATCGGGGTCGTTGGCATTTCGCTTGGAGCGTCCTCGTACATCAAGCATGCTAGGATTGCCAAGGCAGACGCGCATCAACTTACTTCTGTTTGCGGGTAGACCTGCTACCCGAAGCCATTCCTACATCTATCGTTAGCCTTCCAAGACAAACTGAACCTTGGTGTCCATCCATGAAAAGTGGCTTGAGCTTGTTGTATTGTGACGCAAGACAAGGCAAATCACTGTATGGCAGCTATCTGTCCTCCTATCTGCCCTGTTTCCTGTCCTGCCATCTCTCCTTGTCTCTGTCCTCTCGCCTGTCCTGTCCGCTTACCTCCCACCTCTCCTCATATCCGCAGAATCGCAAGCAAAGGCAGAGGGAGTCAAACCCAATACTCATAGTATTGTTCCGCCAACCGCTCGTCCCCGTTAAACGCCTGAGGCTTTGGGGTAAAGCTGCGAGTCGTGGGGCTTCGCTGTCCGCTCTCTTCTCCGGACCTCTCTGGAAAAACCGTGGCTACAGGTTCCTGGCACGGGCGCGATGGAAGGTCCTCATGGCGCAAGGATCAAGGCCATGCGGAGTTTGAGTGTAGCAACATCTCGGCTGATCATGTGCTTGGCCATGCTTCGCAATCATGCACTGACGCTTGGCAAGGGCAGGCGCCACCTTGGAGAGCCGAGTTTTGTTGGGGGCTTTCGTGCAGCCCATGGCAACCGCAGCGCTTGACCGGAGGTGTTTGGCAAAGCTGGAAGGACTGGTCCAGCAAGGGCGAGGACCGAGGCTGTGCAGCGTGGGTTCAAGGGGCAGCTCTCACGTGGTGCTCGTTGTTAGGCCAGTAATGCTTGCACCTGCAGGTGCCTGGCAACACAATGGCAACGACTGGCATGTGGAGAGATCCTCGCAAGGCAGTCAGGATGAAGGCAGCTTGGCTTCAGAGATGGCTACTAACATGAGACTAGTACTCCCATGAACACGCCACGCATCGCAGGGCCAACGCAACAAACACTGCCGCACGTGGTAGGTTCGAGTGCTGTTGTAAGTTAAAAGTTAAAACTCTCATGCGCCAGGCGAACAGAAGCCGCTAGGCCGGCGTTTGCTTCCTTGACGGCAGGATGCTGACGTGCGATGCGTGCAACGTGTGCCTGGTAGGCAACCCTCGCAAGCCTCGTGCGAAAGTGAAGTCTCGGCTGTTCGCCACCGCTGTGGCAGCCACCGTTCAACCTTCGAGGTTGGTCTGCTCATGTCTGCTCCGGTGCATCTGGGATGACAGCCTCTTCCATAAAGAATCCCCGACCAGGTGCCGCCGGCCACAACCCTTGGAGCACTCGCACTCGGAGCCAGCTGCTGTGGAGGTTGAGGAGCAGGAGGAGCCGGCGGAGCAGGCAAAGCCAGAGCCCAAGGAGGCTGCGGCCAAGGCAGAGCCCGTGCAAGCAGTGGAGGTCCAGCCAAAGCGCTGGGCACCCTGCCCGAAAGAGAGCGACGCAAATATGGGGTACGGGATGGGTCGCGTGGACCCGTTCTCGGTGGGCTACGCCTGCCGAGCCATCCCAGACAGACAGCCCGAGGGCCGCAATGTTAACCAGCCGCTAAACAGAGTGTGGCAGGAAGTTAAAGTGAACCAGTGCGAGGGCATCTGTTACCTCGGCTACGAGCACCCCATTGAGGTGTTTCGAGCCGTGTCCGCTGAGGGACAGGAGCAACTCTTCACCTTGCAAGGGTGGAAGCTGCAGCTCCTCCAACTGGCGGCCTTGGCGAGATACCCCAAAAAGGCAATAATCCAGCCGAAGTTTGTGCTGGAGAAAGCGGACATCGACGCCATTCTGGCAGACACGGAAATCCCCGACAACTTCAACACGGTGCACATTGTTGGCGAGGATGGCGCCCAGCCCTTTTCGTGGGAGGCCATTGTGCAGCAAAAGAGCGCGAAGCTAAAAGCTTGACAGCGCAGACTTTGAACTGCAAAGCGGTTGTCACGACAGCATTCCTGTGTTTGGCGGTGGCGGGAAGTCAACAGCATGACGCCCCTGGACAGCGCAGCGTGACAGAGTTCACAGGCAGGCAGAGAGAGAGAGAGAGAGAGAGAGAGAGAGTAGTGGAGCTGTGATTTTTCTTGTCCGGCTTTGGCTCACAGTCGGGTGTTTGAAGTGGCATGCGCTCATCATATTAAGCCCTAGCTGCCGCAGCATCGCCAACAAAACGAAGGACATGTTTTTGAGGCCATTGAAACCCAGGCAACAGGCAACTCAAGTGTGGGAACTGTAGCACGAAGTGCGTGTATTTTTTCTTTGGAGGAAGGTCACCACGCAAAGAGCATCTTTTGCCCGTAGGAACAGACTCCCCTCCGCAAGAGCACGCACGCATTGACTCCTTATTAGGCTGGAAAAGTGCAAAAGTTGGTTCTTTCGTCGACGTTTCTATGCGGGTGCTGCGGCCGAATGGTTCGGTGCTCTTGGGATGTTCAACCGCGTTTGCATAAAAAGCCTGATAGCTGGTGCGTGTGGGAGGTACAAGAGCTCCCGACACAGCTCACCAGAGGCAGTTTCATGTCCGCCTGTGCATCGAAGTTGATGTGTTTGTGTTGCCTTGTGAGACCTGGCATCGTGACCGGGATGTTCGGGACGGTGTCGACCTGAGGTGGAACTCAAAACCCAATGTCGAACAAGCCCGGATCGTCCAGACCCTAACTGACCAGTTCTCAACCACCCAACAAAAGACTTGCCTTCAATGCAACCGTTTTTGCTCACCACGAGCCGGGTTGAAGCCGTCGCTTCGTTTATGAAGCGCTCTTTGTTGACAGCTCGGGCGACACACTCCGTCAACATGCCAGCGAGGAACATGTCTGGCACGCGACCTTGCAAATCAGACGCAGAGAGAGAGAGAGAGAGAGAGAGAGAGAGAGAGAGCAACGACCTGGGAGCACCACCCACCACAACCACCGCAGCAGCTCCACATGCAGAGCCCACAGCTCCGGCAACCCACGCAAAACCCCCCCGGCCACCTTGCACCAACACACCCGCACATCAACCAAGCCGAGCCATAGAACTAGAAGAAGCAGCCAAGCTCCTGGAGGGGCTCCTCGAACAGCACCCCGACACCCCGCCACGCCACACAGCACCAACACTGGCAACCATAGCAGAGCTCATGCGGAGGGGGGTGCAACGCATGGACCAAGTCAAACGGGTCAGAGACTGGCAGAGATGGGGGGGAGGAGAAGCAGCAGCAGAAGCCGGCCTCACAATTGTCACACAGCTGCTCATACAACTCAACCAAGCCAACCAAGCACCAACATCACAACACCACCTGCAACAGCAACTGCGAGAAATCCTCATGCACACCAGGCGCAGGAGGCCCTGTCGCTGTGGAAGCACCACAATGGACCCAGCCAACTTCACAGACTCACCCCCGCAGCAAGACGGCCAAGCAACCGAAACCGCGGGCCCACCACTGCACCACACGCACACACGGCAGACGTCATTGGGCTGCAAGCGGGGGCCAACGAAAGCAACCACAACCGACCCCAAGGCACCAAGCCACATAGCCACCGCCAGGCGACTCCTCGCACAGCTCGTGCCCTTCCTAGTAGAAGAGGCAAACCTAGCAGCCCAAGCCCTCAATGCGCTTGATGAGTGGCTGGCAGCGCAGTGGGTCGAGCACATCATGCTCCGGGACACGCAACCCGGAGACGACAAGGCTGGCCTTGGTGAACACGCACCTAACTCTCCAGACACCATCCCATGGGCACCACCCTCCCCACAATACTCATCCCCGGAAACCATGCCAAGACGACGACGCACAACTACCAGAAGGGGGCAATCTACACCGACGAACTCGTCCTCTACCAGACATCGACAGCCGACGGCGCCGAACACATGAGGGCGCCAGTAGCGACTAACACGTGAACAGCACGTATGGACAGCTTGGGGGCACAGTGGGGGGGAAGACACACACATACCGGAAATTTGTACTGTTGACCTTAGCCAGTTGTTACCCTTGTTACCCTGTAGCCGGGGCTCCAGAATCACACAGTGTGTCGAAGCCCAAACCCATCTGTTTTCTTACTGGGAGGGACAGTCGGGGGAAAAACCGCTATATACACATTTGCGGTCGGAACCTCAACCCCCAGTAAAGCCAACGAGCCAACCCGCCCAACACGGGAGGGAAACCGGTACCGACAGACCTTGGACGTGCACGCCCCTAGGGGCAGCCTCCCTTCGGGGGGGGGTTATGCGTGTGGGAGGGAGGGAGGGAGGGAGAGAGAGAGAGAGAGAGTGAGAGAGAGTGCCCAGTGTAGAACTAGGGGCAGGTTTAAGGGGGGAGTAACAGTCCTGACCTTCTGGATCTAGGAACGCCGCCGCCCACTGCGAAAACCGCAGACTAAACCACCGGGGTACTGGCAGGGGAAATTTCTGGCACACAACAATCAACACCACCCGCGTGCACTAAGGCGTACTAAGGAGATGAGTGGGCAGCCGGAATTTTCCCCTAGTCGGGGTAACCTCATATTTCACCAACAAAGGGACGAGTTGACCGGACTGGGCGCGCTTGCAGCGCGGAGGTCCCCCTCCATGCCCCAAAGAAAGAAAGAAAGAAAGAAAGAAAGAAAGAAAGAAAGAAAGAAAGAAAGAAAGAAAGAAAGAAAGAAAGAGAGGTTCAGTACGGGGGTCAAGTGCGATGGAAAAAAGAGGTTCAGTACCGCGCACAGTCCCACAAACAGACTGCATCGCAAACGCACGCCCAGGGTCCTGTCAAAAACCATGTGCAAAGGAATAAAGGATGAGAGAGCCGGGTTGTAAGCTGGGATTGGTGGGGGGAGGGGCGCAGGGGTCTGCGTTCGGATAGCACGTCGCCCCTATGCCCCATGAAAGAAAGAAAGCAAGAGAGAGGGCTTCTGAGGCCGCGACAGCCGAGCGCGCAGAAGGCAAGGGCACGTGTCCGACACAGTTGGCAGCAAGCAACTTGAGAACTTCACATCCCATGAGGTCGTCGTGGTCTCGAGACCGCGCAGAAGGCTGGACTGGCGGGGTTTAGAGGACTGGGTTTGGGGAGTGTGTGGGAACACATGACTGAGTTTGGAGCCAGAGGCCGCAGCCGAGTGGTGCTGCGAGCCCGGGAGGCTTCAAGGTCGCGCTCCGACAGCAGGCCCCCCCCCCCCCCCCCCCCCCCCCCCGAAGAGGATCGTGAAGAGGTTGAAGTGTTCGAGAGATGCGAGAGTTTGTGTGAGCTCGGAAGAGGTCTTTGAGGCCTTTGCGACCTTTGAGCCCAAGCCCACCACGGAGGCCTGCTCGGGGCTAGGCCCCGGCTAGGCCCGTGCCCACGTGTGCCCACCATGCCAAGGCGTCGGCGATTGCACAGTGGCTCCCAGGTCGACGCAAAACGGTGGGGGGGCCCAGTGCCCACTGCGCTCCCTCTCTTGCTCCCCCTCGCTCTCATCCTCCCTCACTGTATTCTGTTCTTGAGTGGCAGGAGCGCAAAACATAGAGGGCTCCGAGGCCAAAGTGCGGAGCCCGAGACGAGCCCCAAAAAACCAGCGCAGAAGCGGGCGGAAACACCGCCCGCGCCCCGGAAGCGGCAGCCGCGGCAAACGGAGCGGGCGCCGCGGCAGCGGGTGCCGGAGCACCGGGAGCAGCGGGCGCAGCGGACGCAGCGGGCGCGGGACCGGAAATCCGAGCAGTCCGAGCAGGCCTCGGAGGCGGAGCGCTCCGCAGAGCGCTCCGCAGAGCGCTCCGAAGAGCGGGACGCCGGCAAGTCCCAGCCTTCGGAGCCCAGAGGAGAGCCTGGGTCCCAGCTCCCGGAGAGAAGAGTGAGATCGTCTCCGAAATTAACCTATAGTTCGGGGTCTGGAGAGAAGGCTCGTGAATGCTCGTGACTCCGTCAGTGGTCTTTGACATTTTGGTGGGAAGGTCTGGCAGGGATCGGCAGCGAAAGGAGTACATGCAAGCCGCAGCCCAACAGGCAAGACACAAACTTGTCCCACAGAGGATGGTGTTTTCTTGATTCCCATCTAGTGCGGATTGTGCAATCTGCTGCTCCTTGCATCTGTCGATTCGGCCGCTGTTTGTGATCGCTGTAGATGCCGGCTTGGTCATGGAGCGGATTCGAAGAGTTGTGTTCATTACAGGTCCTGTCTTAAAACCTCTCAACAACCTCTCAACCTGGTGAAGAACAGCATGAATCACAATCACAGCACCAGTCATGCAACCTGGTATCCTGGTATCCGTGTGCACAAGACTTGACACAGCAACTCGTGCCGGCGTGAGGGTGATGGACTCGAACTTGGCGGCCGCTTGCGAGAGCTTGCCCGAGTGCGATGCACAGACTAAGTGTCCTCTTGCTCTTCTCTTTGCATGCTCTGCATCCAATCGGAATCCTGGCTTTTTCCTTTCTGGGATGCCCGGCAAACAGGGAGGTCCGTGTATCTTCACAAGAGCGCATGAAGCGCATCTTCTTGAAGATCCTGGATCACTCTGAGCCTGAGGGCATGGAGGGCATGGAGGGCATGGAGGGCATGCCGGGCATGCCTGGCCCTTCCAGCATGTCCAATGAAGTTTCCAATGAAGTTCTTGGAGATCTGGAAGTCCTCATGGCCGAGCATAGTGAGACGGCCGGCTTGCATCACATCCCGTCCCAGGCTCGCTTTATGGCCACGTCGAACAGTCCTCTACCTTGCATTCCTGGGATCATGGCCACAGAATTTCTGCAGTTGCTCTGGCTGGGGGATACGGACCTCAAAGTGGAGCAGCTGTTGAGAAGTGATCGGCACTTCACGCTCCTGGGCACAAGACTTAGGGACGCGATCGAAACTCTTGCCACTGACTGGTGTGTGTGTGTGAGAGAGAGAGGGAGAGAAAGATTGAACTCGTGTGGGGCTCCGAGGTTTCTACGTGTCACTCCATGGGCCACGATCTTGCAGCTGGGTTACGGCCTGCTGTTTGCGCTCGGCCAGCTGTCCTGCGGCTCAGTGCCATCCGACGATGCTTTGGATTTCCCTGCAGAGGCCGAGCGGTTCCACAGAGCTTGGCCAGGGTCTGTGCCCACCGAGGCCACAATCCTCAAGCAGTTCCATGTTCTCACTGGCTTCGACTACCGCCAATGTGTTCGCCAGTTCCTGGGCCGAAGCGTGGCCTCCGCTTCCGAGGCTGGCACCGCTTTGGATGCTTTCTGCAGGCAACCTGCGAAGCAACCTGCGAAGCAACCTGCGAAGAATGCGAAGAAGCGAGCCGGGCGCGATCGCAGCGCTGCCTGGCCACACTGGAAGTTGGCGACGGCCCCAGAAGCCAAAAGCACATGATACCTCTGATACCTGTTGGCAGCTGTTTTCACTCGCACAGAAAGCAAGGGAGCATAGCATTCCTTTTGAGGTCCGAGTGACATGGGCTCTTTGCAAAGCTTGAAGGAACTATTTTCTTTTCCCTTTCCGACATTGCAAGAGAAACAGGAGAAAAGGAAAAGGAACCGGACTAAGCACCCAAGAAGGCGAAGCAGGTTTCTACGACTACGTTCAGTGAAGATGATCTAATATCGGCGGGGCCGTTTACGAGATAACGCTGGTTCAAGGTAGCTCATTTGTTTGGGTTATTGGCCACAGAACGCATATCAGATGAATCAAGCATTTGCTTGCCGCCGTTTTTTGTTTTGACGCTACGCGACCCACCTCGGCCGGGGCCTGCCCAGCGTCGAGGCAACCCAAAACGCAGATCGCGGGTGTGAAGCGTGCCATCATTCTGTGTGTAGACCATGCGCCCCAAATACCACTGATGATGACAATGCGCTAATCTTGTTTACCCGCTGGGACTTTGCCAACCGTGCCCAAGTCTGTAGGGTTCTACGGCCAGGAAACCAAAAGAATAACCTTAAAAGAGAACCGAACTTAGGGGAACCAGGGAGAAGGTAGGGGCCAAAAGAGGAGTACCAGCCTAAGCTCGGGAACCCCAAACCCCAAGAGACACAACCCCAGAACCCCGAACAAGAGGCACCTAAGGGAAACCCTACTGGGGACAGGCCGAAGCCCACAACCCCGGTAACCCTGTGACCCTGTTTCATCTTGAGCCATTCGATTTGTGCGTGTCATCCTTGCTGCAGGGGCCATGCCAGCTTTCCAGGCTCCCCCTGAGCTGATGCACAAATGCATCGGATCATCTTTGTGACCTTTGGGTGAGGCACCTGGTCAAAAGCCTCCATTGACCTTCGGGCGAGGCACCTGGTCAAAAGCCTCCATTGAAATCGCCAGTAAAGAATATCGCCACATCCCAGCCAGTCAACGAATGACGAACTCCGTGACTCCCTTCCAAGTGCGGTCCAGTCGTCGCTTGGCGTCCACCTTGTAACGGAAGATATCTCGGATGACCTGGGTCTCACCATCATTTTGAAAGGTGACATAGGTAACGCGGTCACCAGTCAACTCCTCCAACCCGAAGGGTCTGGCAGCATCGCAGGGGTCAAACAGTTGGATTCGTGGTTGTCGATGGACCCTCACATGCCATCCCCCTCGTGTCGTCCAATAATCCTCGGATCCGGCTGGCTCCACCGAACGTGGTGGTCGGACTGGGGGCGCCTTGCGTGGAGGCATAGGCGCCGACGAAGAAGCCGTAGGAGCCGATGACATCCCAGTGGATGGAGTCGGCATCATCCCAGGGGGCATGCTCGAGGTCATCCCAGTGGATGCGTTCGACGCCGTCCCAGTGGCCGTGGTTGTTCCCATCCCAGTGGATGTTGGAGCTGAAGACGATGGTAGCGAGGACGGATCTTCCTTGGACCGGGCCTTAATCCTCTGATATCCTGCCAAAAACCATGCTGTTTCCCACAAAAAGAGGATACTGAGCACCATAGCAGTCAGGCCCATCCAAAGCGCCGTCTGCCCGAAGTTCAACATGACGACGGTCGCCATATCATCCATTGTCATCGCTTGCTCCATTGTTGCACCATCCACTGTACTCAACATGGCCAAACAAACCAAAATCTTCAGCATGTTCGTCGCTTGCAGCCTGCTAGCTTGAGGTCGACAGCTTGTTGGCCCTCCCATGTTGATCAGCTTCCTCAGCTCGTCCACTCTACTCGCAGTAAGGGGTTTTGTGCCCAAATCTGCGGTCATGTAAACACCGTCAAGGTGATACATCTGCCAAATATCGCATTGTAATCGCTCCTGGAGTGCTGCAGCCTTGATCTTTAACCCTCGGGTCCGCCAAAGGTTGGAGCTTCCTGTGACTAGGGCAACCGTAGCAGCATTATCGCAGTAGATCACAGCCTGAACAGGAACCTGCAAGATTTCTTCCAAAACACATTTGGTTCCCTCACCATAAGCTACCCCTTCCAACACTGCACACAGTTCGCTTTCTGCTGTACTGAGGCTGGTCATAGTTTGCTTGTTGGACGACCAACCAATTAATTGGCCTGCAGCAAAAACATGTACACATTCTTGGGAATGTCCGGCATCGGGAGCGTGGCTGGCATCAGTAAAAACCTCCACCAACGCCTCTTTTCTGGGCACCCTTAACTCCTGATGCTTCCCAAAAGAATCCGGATTGGCCACATAGCGAAGGCCCTCCTCCTTGGTGGCCTTGAGGAACTTGAAGATTTGAGTTGCTGCTTCCACCGCCAAAACAGCATCCCTGGTGATACATTGAGCCGCCTTGCTGATGGCAAAGATAATATCAGGTCTTGTACGGGTTCCAATCCAATTTAACTCACCAATCAGCTTTTGGGCCAGCTTCACCTGCAAAGGATCCATCTCCTTTTTGTCATGAGGAAGATCATACCTCAACGCAGGAACCTTGTAAGTTCGTAGGCTGCCTTGATGCTCGCTCTCGAACCGTTCCAAGATTTCGTCGATATACGCCTCCTGCCGGAGCAAATATCCACGGCGATCATCAGATCCTTCTGATATATCGAATCCGCAAAAACGAACAGATCCTTGGGCCACGTACTCCGGTGTAGAGCATGCCCAGAGCTGCGACAGATCGCTGAAGCACGATTGTAGTACCCCATCTTCCATGACTCCCAAAATGTCATCGACATAGATGGAAACCAGGCCGCGCAATCTTCCATCCTCGGATAAAATTCTCCACAAATTTTGATCTGTGCGACAAGCTTGCCAGGTGTACCACGCTCCTCCACTCTGAAATCTTCGGCCATTAAGTTGTTGATTTCGAAACACTGCCCAGCTCTTAGGCGAAATGTCCAATCCGTATAATGCACGGGTCACCAACCACTTTTCATACGGAGGGATAATTCCAGCTCGGGACAGGATTTTCGGCGGGTCCAAAATGATGCGTTCTGTTTTGGTTTTGGTCCGCTGAAGTAGCGGGGCATTCAGGAAGGCCCCCTTGATGTCCGTCGTTCCAGCCTTCCAGCCACGACGAGCCCCCACAGCAAGCATGGTACGTAGCACCGTAATGTCAATACCAGCCGCATATACCTCCTCCCGGAGCTCCTGCTTTGTTTTGCTACTTTCTTCGGCCTGGAGAAAGTTCCCGCAAGCGCATGCCCTCGCTTTGCGTTGTCCGCTGACCGCCTTTCTTGTGAACACCATTTTTGCCGGAATCCTCTTCACGATCAGGCTGTCGTCCTCCTCCATGACCCGGATTTGCTGCTCGGTGATTGGCTCTATTGCAGCCTTCTCATGGCGAATCGTGTTATACTCGGCACTCATTGCTGGTGTCCACGCTGGCAGCTCCTGCAATACCTGGGCTTGCTGAATTGTCTTTGTTTGCAAGAACACCTCCGGAAAAACATCAGTAGGAGCGCCCGTACCTCCAACATTTGTCTCCACAGACATGCTCTTCAACAGTCGAAGATCATCTTCCACCTGGTCCGCTTGTTCGTGTATGGCCCGTACCTGCGTGACTTGATCCTTCAAGGTCCAAGTGTCCGGCTCCTCGTCCAAGCTGGATTGATCCCAAAGGTCTTGCTGCAGCTTTTGTTGCTCACGTAGCCCTAACCTTTTCAATCCCAGCTGC